GTATTATTTAAAGTAGCCAGAAGACAGACACAATTGCAAATTATAAGCCAAATTTTACTTGTCGCGTGTCAGCAAGGCGTTTAGTGCTTTACACATAAAATTGGCCAATATTTACTTTCCGATGTTTTTTAAGAACCATAGCAGCTTGGACCTTGAATGTATCCCGGTTACACGTACCGCACTGAAGAGTGAATAGGCCACACCCCAATCTTCCTTGGTTTCTGATTTACTGAGAGTGGGGCACCCCATAAGACAACGTGGGTCGAGGAGGTGGGAGTTTTCCGACGAATAGGGCGGCCGGCCTAATCCTTTTTGTGAATCTTGTCCGCCCCCGGGGGCGATAGATATGGAACTGGAGAACCTGGATATTCCGCCGGGTCACGTCATGCCGTGGGACGGCTTTTGTAAACAGGCTCGTTACTGTTTTACGACCGGAACCATGAGGGTGTTAGCACCTCACCCCTGGGGCTATTATGTTTTGCAACTGTTTCATGTCATGTTCTCTACTTAATTTCTTAAGCTAATTCTCACAAACGTTGAACACAATTGACAAAAAACTTCCACGTTTAATAAATAAACAAAAATACCATACAAAGTAAACTTTTAATAAATTGATGTAAAATATATTTTTTTAAATCATAATTATTTTTATTGTATTTATTTATTTTTTATTGGAAGAAAGTAATGCTTTATTCGTCAAGGAGTCGGTACAATTATATAGTTTTACTTAAAACATTTTAAAATTTCCCGTGAAGTTGATACTTAAAAACTTTGAACTTAACATGTAATGAATACAATAGATAAATAGTATCGCTAATAGTTTAACACCATGTCATAAATATAGAAAAATTTGATCACTAGATTACAGGAGTACAAAAAATATAAAATAAAATAAAAACAAAAACAAAAATACAAAAAAAAAGTGGAAAAAGATACAATCAGACAACAACGCAAATAAGGAGGTCCGAAGCGTTTGAACGTATCAACTCTTCAGCCAAACAAAATATCCAAAATATGAATATTAACGTTATGCTTATGTATTTTTATAAATAATATAGATTCCTGATGATGGATGTAAATTTCCGAAACATCCAAAGAAATGTTAATAAACATATTACAATTAATTAAGGTTTTTAGTTGAGATAAAAAAGTCAATGGTACAAGCGGGATTCGAACCCACGATCTTCGGCTAGATACGCAGCTGCTCTACCACTTGAGCTATCGTGACCTCGATCCACTCGGACACCAACTTCCCATCTCAAACCCACCTTTTGAATTTTCCCTCCTTTTTGAAAAAAAGGCAAAAAAGAGGGAAAATTCAAAAGGTGCGGTTGAGATGGGAAGTTGGTGTCCGAGTGGATCGAGGTCACGATAGCTCAAGTGGTAGAGCAGCGGCGTATCAAGCCGAAGATCGTGGGCTCGAATCCCGCTCGTACCATTGACTTTTTTATCTCAACTAAAAACCTTAATTAATTGTAATATATTAATTGGTCAAGCGGACCACGAAATTAGTGAAGTTAATAAACATGTTTTTACTTTATTATTTAGAAAAAGGGAAATCTTGCCGGCTTTTAACCAACAAATAAATAGAAATGTTAACAGGAACATAAAAAACTAAATTTTTTAAATAGTCATTATTTAACACTTTATTTATTACTATTTTCATGATCAGCGAGTCTTTTTCATTGGAGCTTCCTATTGTCCATAGGTTGGGTGTTAACGTACTCGTTGGTGATAATCCATAAATATGTTTAGAACCAAATCTATGTAAATAGCTCTATTTATCATATACCAAAGAATTCCTGTTTATATCAACCAAAGAGATTTAGCACAGTGCATACTTTCTATTTTAATCTGTGTCGTGAATGCAGAACATCCATACTACCACAGGTCGAATCAGTTTAATATAACAAAAGAGAACGTTTTGGAAGGTTCGGCTTAATTTCTGCACAACTGAGGCTATATGAGGACCTCAGATGTGTGTCTCGTCTATGATCTCAAATTTTCCTTGCCATCAGAAAAATGAGCTATTTTTACGAAACTATCGTAGATAACTATAGATAATATACGTTCACAGATATATAGAAAGGCTTAAGACACTGCCTTTGCTGATTCCTACATAATTTTTATATCCGACAAAGAACCATCACGCAGGTACGACTTTAAGGGAGGTGTGTTTTACGCCGGACTGGTAAACAGTCAGTACAGACTTGTGAAGCCTTTTGGTTTAAGGTTCATTTTCCAGTTCCTTAGTTCAGTTCAAATGACCCGCTTCTACTTTTAAGAAGCAGTAAGTCATTGATTTTTATTGCTGCAACTCTTCTTTCCGGCTCTTAGGTTACTAGACACATGTTGAAACATCACGTAACTAGGCCCGTCTATTCTCGATGGGTTAGGTTGTTGATTAAGTTTATTGTATTTTTCCTAGTTCCTTGTAGATGTATTAGTCGAGGTGTGTATTATACAGCGCCCTTTAAGGGCTGTTGCTTATATAAGGGCTGCTTATAGCACAGCGGTGAGTCCTAGTTTATTAAGGAACTTATTAGTAGGTCAGTTTTCATTGGTCTTTTCTACGGAATTGTACGTCCCAAAACACTTCCTCCTGCGAGTAAGTTTAAGACCACAGTATGTTAGTAGTTGTGTCGGCGTTTCCTCTGCTTCCTGGAAGAATCTGCACTTGCCGTATTGGGTTATGCCAATCTTCTTCAGATGTCCATTTAGTTTGAAGTGTCCTGCTAAGAATCCTGTTAAGATTTGTAGGTTTTTATTGCTTTTTTTAATGCATTGTTTCCTCTTTCCTTTCAAAGTTTGTTAGGATGTTCTTGGATTGTTTGTGTCCAATGAGTGAGTTCCGTTGTACCCTCATTTTCTTTTTATCCTTCTGACTGAGATGTTCATTGCTAGTGATTCCTATGCCAAAGAGGGGCTTTCCCTTGTTTCTTAGTTCACTAAAATTGCCTAGATCCTTCTTGTAAGATTTAGTCGGCCAATGTTGCTGCATTTCTATTTCTTATGTCTTCTTTATACACTAGGTACTGTTGCACTGAAACATTACTTAACTGGATCCGTATATTCTCACTAGTTTTTAATGATGATGATTTTAAGGATAATATGGGTTAGGTATTTCTCATGCACTAAGGCCTTTGATCTCATTGTACTTTTGCTAGTTCTTTAGTTCAGTTCGGTTCAGATGATCGATCCTCTTGGCACACTAAGTACATGTTAAACTGAAACATTATTTAACTAGGTCCTCTATTCTTGTTAGTTTATGTTAATATTGATGAGATGGATTCTGGTAAACGGGGTTTTTGATATTATATAAGCACTGCAGCTTTTTGTGTGATTTTTGTTTATACAATATTCCTATTTTCTTACTTCCTTAGTTCCGTCGTTGGCTTATGTTTTATCCGGTAAAGTTCAACAAGTCTGAAATTATTGTCGAAAAAGTATGGTCTATCGCCGCATAGACAAAATTATCTTAATTTTCAAAGAATTCTATCCAATATTTTAGTTGTTTCAGAATTTCTACTATTTTTTGATTTCAAAGAACTCGAGTAGTTATAAAAAGCAAAGGCCATAATAAAATTGGCTAATCCTCCATCTTATTTTGTAATCGTGTCCTGCCAATTAGTTGATTCTTAGTTAATTTCACAGACAAGGTGTTTCCTAGTTTTTTCGATATTAGGTTTCATCGTTCAAATTAGCCACTTCATCAACACGGGGGAAAGGGCTAGATAATAATTTCGTGGATTCACTTAATGACGTTACAACTCTTACAGTCACGTGACTTCTAAGTAATGAACCCTCGACCCCCTGGTCAAATAATTGATAGGGGTGGCATGAAAAATGCCCTCCTCCTTCCCAATATGCGTACACGTGACCTTCCTTATTCACAATGGCTTTAATTTGATTAAACACTCCAGTGCTTCTACTTTAATGAGAAATATCTTTATTTCGCCCTCATTTTGGTGCTAGGGTTAAAAAAGTCTTTAATCTACTTGTGAAAGGGTCGCCCGGAGAGGAAAACACACCTGTTACACCAAATAATATTTTTACCTTACTCTCAAAATTCAATTATGTGACCCTTTAAATTGTTTTATTTTTTCTATTTCGTAGTAAGGTTGTTAACGTAAAGTTCTCCTATTTCAAATATCTACTTTTTTTGGGTTACAATGGGAGGACACGGACGTGGGATCGATTTTAATGAAACTTTGTTGATACTTGGTCATATTAGACACATGCCCAAATGTTCTTATTTGTTCGGCCAGTTGAAAACGGAGCAAAAAATATTTTAAGCATCTTGCGGGCGAGCAAATTTGAGTTACCTATTGCAATAGAATAAATACAAAATCGTTTCTTCAACGATGTGGCCAATTCTATTAAATTTTGTAAGGTTTCTTTGTTATCTAATGATCTCAAGATTTTTAAAGAGGTCTCGACATCTGATGATTTTGTTATATTGCAGAAGGACATCTCTGCTTTCTACGACTGACTTACGCTTAACATTGATAAATTCCCTTATATTTGTTTCCCGTCTAAGAAGGTTCCTTTTTCAAGTCTTTATCCTTTGTCTTATTCCATTGGTTGCACTCCTCAAGGTTCCTACGATTAAAAAAAAAAGATCAACAACCATCGAATTAATGCGATACAATCTGAACACGACGAGACGTGACGGATCGCTTCCTGATGCTCCGGGAGATTAGGGCTACCTGTTGCCCGCTAACGTGTCAGTCGGCAACATTTAGACCCCCATTAGTCGCCGTTTATAGAATGGCTCGCACATGTGTTGAAATGTGGTGTTAATGTGTATTTGTACCTAAAAACCAGTTTTTCTGGCAGATTTACTTAATTACTTTACTACAGCTCACTCACTACCAGTCAACTCTGTGTGTGTGTGTGTGTGTGTGTGTGTGTGTGTGTGTGTGTGTGCGTGCGTGCGTGCGTGCGTGCGTGCGTGTGTGTGTGTATGGGTATGTAAAATTTATTTTTTCCCTACTCACCTCAGTTTGTGTTGGACTGGCGTCGATATCAAAAGATATCGTCGATGTTTTTCTCGGACCGGCCAAATCGAGCCTTAATATCCCAGGTTTGACGGACCGCCTTTCCGCCAGTGAAAGCTCTTTTTCGGCCATTATATTTCGAGTCCTAAAATCAGTGATTTTGATCAATTAAAATAAATTAGATTAAAACTTCAATTAAAATTATTTACCCACTTTTTTTAAGGGCAATTATCAGACTCGAGAGTATTCGCCAATTGCAATTATCTTCCCTAATCATGCAATTTACTACACCAGACTATGCGTAGGTCATACAAGAATAACGCACGGGCACCAGCTGGCCGGAAAGCGACCGCGTGCCTGTTATGCAAGGATAGAATAACGGACGAGCACTTTTCAGTAGTAGAAGGCTTGACGTGTATAGACAATATTTTGACTTATCGTCGGACCTATTATATGTTAATTTATTGGAATGAATGTAATTTATTAGCGCGAAAGGATCGAGGGTATCCAGTACTCTGTGGTGAGTGTGTGATGTCTGGAAAGTAAAATAACTAAATTATCGAGAATGGAGTAGGTTCAATATATATAATGTTGTTTTTTTCGAAGGCCAGAAGTAATTTTGACGTGGATTAGTGCAATTCAGTAACATTACATATATTCAACAGTGTAAAAATATTCATGCGGAATTCTTGCCAGAGAAGTAACCATTCATTTTCATTGCGTTTTTCATTTACTTATCTTCTCCTAACTAATATATTCCTAATGCTACAGTTAACTTGATTAGTTCTATCGTTTTAAAATCCTTAGATACCGACTTTCGCGGAAATCATTGTGAATTAATTTTTTAACTAATAATTTCGACGACCGTCTTCATGACTACGGTTTAGCTGTTGACACGGCGCTCATCACTGTAAGGTAAAGGTCCCGGGTTCATATTTACATATTTACAAATGAGCTTTTTTTCAAAAATGCCGACACCCCGAGAGTTGTCAACCTAGGACCTATGCTGTTGGGAATCCTCGTAAAAACAATCGTTTTTCTCAAAAGATAGAGGGCCTACTTTCATAATTGATAATTCGTTTCAAGGAAATTCTAAAGAGCATTTTTTAACTGTATGAAACATTAAAATCGGACGATTATTTCCATTAAAAAAGAGGTTAATTTCTGAAAATAATTTTGCTATTTTGTGTATTTTCTTATAGAAATATTTTGTATATTTTAATGCCTATATACATCGTTAAAAAGCTACGTTCCTCTTCGTTCAAATCGTCTGTTTGATGTTAAAATCTTTTTAGCCGTTTTTAATTATAGCCGTTTCAATCAAATATCCGATAACGACGTCTCAAAAATTGGAAAAATTTTAGGTCAGGTTCAAAATATTAAAACGTTTGTTCGGAGTCTGAAAGACTTAAATATGTACCGCACTGGCTCTTTTTTAAAATAAACAGTTATAAAATATTAATGACTAACGACCACTGTTTTAACCATTGCGTTAACTCATCTGAGGAAGGATTAAAATAAATCCGAAACGTTGTGGATAAAAACTGGTTGTGGTTTTTTTGAGATGACCTATTATCCATCCTCCAAGAAGGAAAAATCATAAAAGAAAAATTTTAGGTTAAAAAATCTATAAATTTAAATTCAAATAAAAAATTTATTTTACATTTAGGAGTGTCTAGAGGTGCTAAAACGAAATTTCATATTATTTTCCCGAAAAACATTTATGAGCTTGATAAATATTTGGTTTTTAGAAATTTTTGGTTATTGATAAACTTTGATAGCTTTCTTATTATACTGAAAATTCACAAAAAGTGGCGGTACATGTCTGATATTTTGGAATGTAGAACTATCCAAAAAGTTTTGCCCAAATCTGTGACCCACCAACCTGGTTGTCTCCTTGTTAGTTCCAAAACTAAATTTCTATTTTACCTTACCTTGTCAATTTCAGATTTTAATCTGATAGTGCAACATTTTTTAAAACAACTTTTTTTTAATTCTAAAAATTATGATTGTTTAGTTGGAGTTTCAACAAGGACATCACGACCAATAGAAGATTCTGTTGTTTGTCTTAGGCCGATGAAAATATTAAATATGGTTTAAATAAACAAAGTTTTATGGTTAAAAATTCAGACACTGACAAAAAGCCATGTATTTTTCTCACCTGTGTCACGAAGGAGGACAGATGTGAGACTCCCCCATTAGCTTGCAAGCCCTCCGTTGAGTTAGGCGGTTAATTGCGCCAAGACCACACCCATAAATACACACACATCCGTCTAACATTATACTCACCGGCCCCTCTCCTTTTTCATTATGTGTGCTTAGCCATTTCAATTAGTTTAATAACGTCTAGATCAGTCACCTTGATCCCAATAATTCAAGTCAAAATAGCCTAATTTTGTCTACCTTCTTGTTATCCATAATAAAGATTCTGTTTACTAGCGTATAGCACACCCCTTTCTGTCTTGCTTTTTTGTCGGGAAATTCAATCATGTGTTGCATCTCCTGCATCATTCTTTAAAATAATCATAAGCCAAGGCAATTATCTCAGACCACTTCATATTCATCGGTAAAACATAATACTTATGATTGTCTGAACTGACAATGAAGATGCTGTGGATAGTTTTTAATTTAATGGGTTGTGTTCCTGTTGAATTGCTCTATGTTCCTTCCTTGCTACAAATGGTCACTGCTGCTGCTTTCAGGCTTGAGAGCCACTTTGTATTTGTCTGTTATTTAGTTTGGTGATGAACATGCTGAATTAGGTACTGAAATGATGAGTTAGGGTTGGTGCTTTATTCTACATTACATTGTCTTCATGGTGTTCCATCACATTCATGATTTGATGGGATGAAGGTGAACAGCAATATGATGCCTGTGTGTTTGTGGATGAAACTATGTTCACAAGGATCTGTAATACAATATAATAGATTCTAATAATTCAAATTAGTGATTATAGAAGTAGGATGATTTGGAAATTTTCATGCCACAGTCCTAAGCTGAAAACTTATTTTCATCTTCACAAGCCTTGCCTTACTTTTTATTATTTCATTAATTATTTTTATTGTAAGAAGTTCTGTTCCTTGATTTTGCATTTCTTCACAACTAGGATTTTCCCAGCTTGTGGATGGGGTGTCTTTTTCATTACCTCAATGCCTTTCTTTTTCATCACTTTCTTCATCAGAAACTGTAGCCAAAACATAATTGTCAGCCATGTTTCTTATCTTTCCCTGGCTTGCAATGTCTTTCTTTTACTCCAGTTCCTGCCTCTGATGATGATATTCCAGTATATATAATTTTCACATTTAAATTGTAGGTAAACTTGGTAAGCTCCTCTAGCATAGATGGATGCTACCTTGGCCTTGAGACATCTTAATAGATGTTTTTCACATAATATGTATTAGGTTTTTTAAATTATCCTAGCACACTGTACATTTTCATTTATCACTTTGAAAACAAATATTAAGAATTGTTCCTTGTATCTTGTGACCAATTGCCAAAATGACCCTGACATGAGGGAAGAGTCTTACTTGGCCAGAACCAAACTTCAATTTGTGCCCCCAACTGAAAACCAACCATACTAGCTGGTTTGGTCCAGAATAAGCCTGTAAATTGCAGATGGTGACTGGTTCAAGGTTCAGAACATATCTTCTTACTGTCCTCAAAGCAAGACCTTGGCATGACTTAAAGAAGAAATAGGCCGTTAAATCAGCACTGACTTGCTGATTTCACAAGTGTACACGATGGTCTTCTTATCTCCCTGTACAAGCTAACTCCGCAGAATTAATATTTGATTACCAGGAGATTCCTTATACCCCGATATAGTTATACTGGACAACTCACTACACACATTTATATATATAAAATATAAAATGTTTGATAAAGTGAAGTAGGCTTTTATTTGTTAGGTATGGGAACATGAGCTAAGAAAATGCAAATACGTACTCTTTATAAAATGGTTGTCCGGTCTGTGCCTAATAGTACACTGACACATTTTCTGCATTCAGAAATGGAAATAAATACTAGTTCACCTTTGGTCTAAAGCTGAACTTCTCGTATGTAGTAAAGGCCTTGACAAATCATTCTTTGGACAGATTAACCCATGTTGTAACTACTCAAATGATAAAATATAAAATATCTTTGTATGCTGGCTGATACAATGTTCGAAAAAATGAGGGGCTGAGTGCCGAGTGGAAAGAGCAAGCCAGCCATTTATGAGCAGCCTTTAAACAAAACAAAAAGATATATTTCTACTCTCATCAAAAAACTGTTTCATAAAATTTATGATAAATTGAAATTATTATAATATGATAATAACAATTTAATGCAAACTAGTACAAACTAATTAATTGTTAAGCTATGAGTTGAAATTATGAGTTTGAGTTACAAACTATGGTGAAATAAATTTGTAAAATGTGCATTTTGGACAAGCTTGAAATCTGCTTTCATTTTAGAGTTGATGCTGGATGTAGGTCTGCATGTCAGTGAACTCGTGTTGAACCATCACTGGGTTATTTGTTGGGCTCGTCTTCCTCGTGGGGTTGCTGAACTACTCAAACATATTTCAGCATTGCGCCTTTTTCAGTGAAGAACTGTTGCTGAAATGTGTTTGAGTAGTTTAGACAGACACAATGAGACCAATATTTTTTGTTTACAGCTAATGGAAATAATTGATTTAATCTGGCCCTATTTATAAAATATGCAGCATTGTATAGAAATACTTTAATTGAGAAATTTAATTTCTAAGTATTTAAGAGAAACTTTTTTCTTTCATTTTGTCCTTACATATAGACTGATCTATAATAAATAAATGGGAAAAGGTTACAAAATTTTTTTATTTAAATAAAATCTCATAATGAGGAGAAAATGGCACTGGCAGATCTAAACTCCTTTTAGATTTAGAAAATTTAACATGTTTAATTATTTGAAATGAAAAATCCTTTTCTTCAAAGTTGTTCACACATTAATAAAACAAATAGTCCCACGTACGAAGAGCGAGCACAGGTTCATGTGCTTTATAAATTGATTGCAAATAGTTCCCAGGCTTATACTTGGCCAGTTTCCAAGTCACAAAAATATATAATTTCAGTGGATTTTACTGAAAATGTTGAAATGATAATTTAATGCATCATAGGTTTCTTCGTTATTAATTATACTTAGTGACAATATAAATAATATGTTGAATGTATCAATAATGATTGTTGTTCAGCAATTTTTTTAATTAATATGAATACATTCTCATTTCACCAATGTAAAAAAAATCAAATGTAATTTAATGAAAACATAGCATGTAAACAATAGTAAGATATGTATTTTGACAATTGATTTTGTCCAAAAACTATGCATGATTTTCTTAAAGAATTTAAATGAAAATGTTATTATTATTACATTTTAGAATGAAAGAAGTCATCTTTAACTTTAAATATGACAAATTAGTGTTGTGTGAAGAAATAATTTTCTTCAAAGTTGTCCACACATTAATAAAACAAATAGTTCCACGTAAGAAGAGCGAGTACAGGTTCATATGCTTTATTAATTGATTGCAAATAGTTCCCTGGCTAATAACTTGGGGGGGGGGATGCCTATGCAATCAATAGATAGTGCAAAAAAAAAGGATTGTTTATAAACTACAATAAAACCATTATGGTTACCTTTATCAAGAAACGAGCACTTGGAGGACTTAAGCCACTTGTGCTAAAGGCAGTTGTAATTAATTTGGATCATCTACTAAATAAAATCTCATAATGAGGAGAAAATGGCACTGGCAGATCTAAACTCCTTTTTGGTAAAACCTTGGGATGAAATCAACCACTGCAGTTATTACCCATAATAATCTATGAAGGTGGATCAAGACCAATCTTCAATCAAGTTAACTGGGTTAACGGATGGTTAGGAATAGTTAGTGAGTGAAAGATAAGTAAGGATAGAGATTGAAAGAAAAAGAAAAACAGGAGAGATTGATAGCATGTGAGAATATGAAAGAGTAAAATATAACTAAATAAAAAAAACTTTACTTATCTAAACATTAACTTGTATTTAATGGTTAGAATATCACCATATTACATATAACACATATATAAATATACATATGGTATATTTATTCCATTTATATTTATTTACAATATTTATTATTATATTACAATATCTCCAATGGTTAGAATATCACCTTGTCTATCATCTGATCGTATGTCAAGCAAGTACTCTGGGTCAACCATACTAAAAATTATTTGAAACAATACCACATTATAATATATTATTTAGAATCAAATTAATTAATCTGGGTATGGTTAAGAATAAGTGAAGGGTGAAACAAAAAGAGAAAGAGGGTAGGAGGAGAGAGAGAGAAAGAGGGGGGAAAGAGAGAGAATGAGTGAGAGATGGAGAGCTTTATCATCATATACAACATTATTTATCACAAAAAAAAATTTAATTCAACAAGAAGCAGAGCTTTGTTACCTTGCACCGACATAACCATTTCAGTTTTTAACATGGTTGTTCATTTTATAACACAAATTTTCAAGTATGAAAAATTATGGTTGTTTAGTCTGAGGTTCAACTTTGACACCAGTTCAACTAAAAAGTAAAGCAGTATCAATTAGGTCGATTACTGGTTTAATTTGTAATGTACAATTAATATTGTTTAAATAAAATCACCATATTGTCATCAAATGTCATGTGCCAAGTGACTAGTGTCTGGAGCCACTTCGTATTCGTCTATTATTTATATTAACAACGAAGGTGCTGAATTAGGTACTGAATTGATAGGTTTGCTATTGGTATAGCTCTTTGTTGCATTGTGTTAATTTTCCCCATCTATATATCATTATTTGTTCATGGTGTTTCATCATATTCTATATTTGATGGGGTGAAGGTGGACAGCTCATGCTGCCCATGTGTTTGTCGAACTAGGTTCCCGACGATCTGTAATACATAACTCATATAACAGATTCTAATAATTAAAATTAGTAATTTATTAGTACCTGGGAGGATCGTCGGAATTTTCATTGTTAGAGTCCCCAGCTGAAAACGAATTTTCTTCTTCCAAAAGCCATGGCTTAGTTCTTATTATTTCATTAATTATTTTCATAGTCAGAAGTTCTTCCTCGGTGGCTGGTTCTGTTCCTCGATTTTCTTGGCTTGTTGATGGGGCATCGTTTTCTTTTTGGCTGTTGTTTGTCGTAATCGGGTTGCTTTCTTCTTCATCACTTTCTTCATCAGAGATAGTAGTGAAGATATACTGTTCAGCCTTGCCTCTTACCTTTCGGTGGCTTGCAATGTCTCGCTTTTTCTCCAGATCCTGCCTTTCATAATATTCTGGTATTTCAATTATTTCACGTTTAAAATGCCGGTAAACGTGGTAAGCTCCTGCAGCACAGATGGTCACTGCTGCTGCCTTAAGAATGGTTCTCCACATAATTTGTTATCGGTTTTTATTAATTGCCGATCACACTGTGTTTATATTATATTTGTATGTATTACAGTTTTTTGCTGGTAGCAAAAATTAGAATGATTCTCAATTGTCACCATAGAAACGAATATTAAGAATTACTTAAATATTTAATAATTTATTAAACACATGACAACACTTCATCTCTTCACGCTACAATACCTTTTATGCCAAGTCTGCATAAATAACAATGAACTCACGATAGCTCAAGTGGTATTGTAGTGGCATATTTAGCTGAAGGTCGTGGGTTCGAATCCCACGCGTGACATCAACTTTTTTATCTCAACGAAGACCTTACATAGAAAGAATATTAATTGAAAGAAGTAACTTAGTCAATTGGCCACTAAAATGTAAATGAATTAGTAAATTACAATGCATTTTTCTTAATACTTCTTATTATGAAATGACAAAAATAAAGTGAGGTATCAGTAGGTGTTTTAAGAAGCAGTTTCAAATTTGTCATTTTTATGGACTTCTTCACCATTGAAGTCTTCTATTGAACTTGGAAAATGGGGAGAAAAAATATTAGTTGGACATTAAATATTCTTAATTTAAGAATATTTGATTCAAGAATTCAAAAAATATAAACAAATAAATAATTCTGCCTTAATAGAGACATCGAAATACTAAAACCAACTACAAACATAAGAAGAATTAAGACCTTATTTAGAAAACAATATTGCACATCAGTGTTGATGAATTTCGACAGAAGGCTGTTGGCTGTGGTCGCTTGATGTAAAACAAAATATTTTTTTTGTTTAACTGCAAATATTTTTGTCAATAAAAATCTTTAGTATTATTATTGAAAATCAGTGATTTTAAATGTGGCAGCTGAAGATCATGGGCGTTAAAACATTTTTTTATTTATTTACTATTATATTACTATCTGCTTTTGTGTTCAGGGTAATTGACCAATTTTGCAAGTTTTGAAAAATAAAATAATTTTGTTTGTATTCAGTACTAGGGTTTCTTTTATCTTGTGACCAACTACCAAAATGGTGATCCTGTCTTGTGGTCCAGAATAAGCCGTTATTTCCTGAGGGCGATGGTATTCAATCACACAACTGATGTAGACTTACAGCATGATAATTTACATCTGACAATTATTTACATGCTTTAGTTTAAACAATGAAAAAAGAGGCATGGGCTCAGATGACATGTTACCTGATTCAATACAGCCCTGCTAAGAACAAATACCCGTATCTTCTGTTTTAAAAGTTTTGAGAAATTGAGCTTTGAAGTTTTGAAACTGAATGACTGGTATCACCATTTGTATAAGTTGCCTTTTTTAAAATAGTTTTTGCCTGGAATGCAAACTTCACTTTTTTATAATCCTGATAGCTTTTTTATTATTATAATTTATAACTTATTTATCCATTGACTTTTATTATTATTTTTTTTTTAATAAAGAAAATTTTTAAATATAAATTTAAGTAGCAAAGATTTGTAAGAATGTATCTGAAAAGAAAGTGGTACAATGTTATAACTTGCTTTTGCCCCTAGTCCTAGTGGGCACAATCAATTTTAGAAAAATCAGCAGGCACAACAGCTGGGAAATAAGTATAATAACCATAATTAAGAGATAATACCCATTGATTTAGCCCATTCATCTCATTTTGAAAGGTCCAATGCAATAATTCGAACTAGGAGTATAAACCTAAAAGTTATATTCATAGTTCTTATAACTCCTCTCAGAACTTCTCAGGCTTTTCAGCAATGAACTCCTTGATTTTCTGCAGTTTAGTCCTTCCTGAGTGAAATAAAGTTTTCCCCATTAATAGTTTTGCAGTATCAGGAATAAATAAAAACCTGAAGGGTCTGAATTAGGCAAATAATTAAGTGGTGGTAGCACTGACTTTAATCGTCCCAATTTTGTGCAGTGTACACTAGAATTAACGGTTTAGTTGGGCAGAAGAAGCTCATAAAAAGTAACCCCTTTCAACTTTTCAATCTCACCATTGTTTTTTAAACAAGGGTTTGCAACAGCAGAGGTCATATCAACCCTTGGGTTGCTGGTATTTTGTAAAAAAAAAGCGCTTTGTATGCATGTCGGGTTTGAATGAAGGGCCACTGAATTCTATCCTGGGACCTTTACTTACAGTGATGAGTGCCATGTCAATGCCAAAATTATTGAGGCACCAATGCTCCCCCCCCATTGAAATTTTTAACGTTGGCCAACATTTTCCCCAGGATTTGCGTCTCTGAACATTGTTGTAAGCATGTCATCTATGAAGAAGTAGCAATGGGCCTAGGTTGAGCAATGACTGTAACTGTTTGTTGGTCCCTAAATGCCTTTTACATTTACACTGCCTTTCAAGGCAATTTTTCACATAGAATCTGCTGGTGCTATTAGAATTTTAATAAATTGGCATGTTAAGCCTTGCATTGACATTGTTTAGAAATATTTTAATTGAGAAATTTAATTTTTAAGTATTTAAGTGAAACATTTTTCTTCGATTTTGTGCTTATATGGACTAATCTATAATAAAAAACTGGGAAAAGGTTACACAATTTTTTAATTTAACATGTTTTAATTATTTTGAAATCGAAATGAAAAATCCTTTTCTTCAAAGTTGTCCACACATTATAAAAGGAAGTAGTCCCACACATAAGAAGAGTGAGCACAGGTCCATGTGTTTCATTAATTGATTGCAAATAGTTCCCTGGCTTATACTCATCCAGTTTCCAAGTCACAAAAAATATATAACCAGTGGATTTGACTGAAAATGTTGAAATGATAGTTTAATGCATCATAGGTTCCTTTGCTATTAATTATATTTAGTGACAATAAAAATAATATGTTGAATGTATCAATAATAATATGACTATTCAGAAATCATGAGATGCGGTCTGGTGTGATGTAGGTTTCAGAAAAACATTTTCTTTATCGTACTAACGTTTCGATCTTTATTGAGATCATCTTCAGGGCTCAAAGTGTTTGTGTTCTGTGTAATTGTGCCATTCTTGTGTGTTGTGTTGAGAGTGCCAATCACCACACAATAATAATATGATTGATGATTAATATGATGAATTAATATGAATGCATTCTCATCTCACTGATTAAAAAAAAAAAATCAAATATAATCTAATGAACATAGCAACAAAAACATAGCATGTAAACAATAGGAAGATATGTATTTTGACAATTGATTTTATCCAAAAACTATGCATGTTTTTCTTAAAAAATTAAATGAAAATGTTATTATTACACATTAGAATGAAAGAAGTCACCTTTAACTTTAAATATTCAGATATCGTGAGATGCGGTCTGGTGTCATCTCACGATATCTGAATAATTATCGATTAACGGTCAGTAATCTCTACACATTTAACTTTAAATATGAAAAATTAGTGTTCAGTCCAAATTTGATGTATGGGTAATGATAGGTTCAGAAAGTACAAAAAAGTTGCAAGTAGTGCAAACTTTGAGTGCTTTGTATTATCATAGGAGCTCAATGGTAAGAATTAATCATTATGACCTCAAATCCAGACCAAAATGGCTGATCAAGTTTATGATATAAATGTTTGTGCAACCGTCCACCCCCAAGAATCGGATGAAGATTATTAAAAATAAAGATCAAACTATAATGTTAATTGACTGTGTGCAAAATAGTAGGTAATATTGGGGAAGGGCGCAATACACACACTGTATTTGTCTTATGCTAGACTTGCAGGTGTATAAATAAAGTTGTTCACACCACAAAAAAAAAGAGTAATCTATAGGAAGATCACAACTTCATAGTCTTTTAAACTAGTTATAAAATTAGTTCTGGTTGATACTCACCCATTTCCAAACTATGAAAAATGTATATTCTCAGTGAATTTGACTGAAAATGTTCAAACTGCTGTTTATTACGGTACTGCACAACATTTCTTCTTTATTAATCACACTTAAGTTCAGTAAAATTAATCTGTTGGATTTATCACAACCTAACTACTACACATACTAACTTGATTGGTCAGTAAATATGCTTTATTAAACATAATGAATTCTGACCTAATACTTTTGAAGATAGGAAAACAGATGAAAGCATGGCATGAATTATCCTGTGAACTGTAGAAAGGAATCTTGAAAATTTAGTCTTTGGCCAAAAACAAAGCTGGCTAAATCAATTTTTCTCAAAAATATAACCAATAAAAAATAAATAAATGAAAGTAAGACTTATTGTTACTATTAGCTTGAAAGAAGTCACCTTTACCTTTAAGCATAAAGAATCAGTCTTGTGGCCAAATTGGATATATTAAACGTTCAGCAAGTGCAAAAAACTTGCAAGTAGTGCAAGCTCAAGTTAGGTTTTATTACTAGAGTTCAATGATATGAATTACTTATTTTAACCTGAAGTAACTCAAATCCAGACCAAAGTGGCTGACCAAATGTGTATCTGCAGCAAATGATTATGCATCATCCACCCACAAGGACCGGAAGAATATGTTTAAAAACGACCTACCTATAATGTTAATTCATTCTATTATAATGTATAAAAACCATCAGTAAATAAACTGATAATTTGAGGGGGTGCAATATGTAATCAACAGATAGACAAAAAAGTTTATAAACTACAATAAAACCATTGTGGTTACCTTTACCAACAAAAGGGCGCTTGGAGGAATTAAGCCACCTGTGCTAAAGGGAGCTGTAATTAATTGGAATCAGCAACTAAATAAAATCTCAAAATGGCATTGGCAGATGTAAACTCCTAAATGGTAAAAGCTGGGGATGAAATGGAAAGATGTCCCTGTGCACTGCAGTTGTTTCTGATGATAACTTATGGAGATTTGTTGGATGAAGATTTTTTTAGGTGCTTAAGATCCAGGCTAAAAAGTCTGGCCAATACTGGGTGATGAGTACAATGCCTCCTCTTTGTATTGGAAGCCTATCTGAATCTACCAATCTTACATACTCCAGTCAATCAAGTTAACTGAGTGAACGGATGGTTAGGAATAGGTAGCGAATGAAAGGAAAGGGATTGAAAGAAAGAAAACAAGGGAGAGACAGAGAGTGAGAATGTGAAAGACTTTAGTGAAAGAGTAAAATATAACTAAATAAACAAACTTTAGATACTTACCTAAACATTATTTAGTACTATAATGGTTAGGATTATCACCTTGTCTTTCATCTGATCACATGTCAAGCATAGTCCATGTCAACCATATTAAAAATTATTTGAAGCAATACCACAGTATAATATATTATTTAGAATCAAGTTAATTAATCTGGGTATGGTTAAGAATAAATAAAGGGCGAAACAAAAAGAGAAAGAGTGAAAGAGGATATATATTAGGGACGGAGTGTAAGTGTGAGTGTGTGTGTGTGTGTGTGTGTGTGTGTGTGTGAGAGAGAGAGAGAGAGAGAGAGAGAGAGAGAGAGAGAGAGAGAGAGATGGAGAGAAAAAGATAGAGTGAGAGANAATAATTAAAATTAGTAATTTATTAGTACCTGGGAGGATCGTCAGAATTTTCATTGCTAGAGTCCCCAGCTGAAAACGAATTTTCTTCTTCCAAAAGCCATGGTTTAGTTCTTATTATATCATTAATTATTTTCATAGTCAGAAGTTCTTCCTCGGTGGCTGGTTCTGTTCCTTGATTTTCTTGGCTTGTCGATGGGGCGTTGTTTTCGTTTTGGCTGTTGTTTGTCATAATCGGGTTGCTTTCTTCTTCATCACTTTCTTCATCAGAGATATTAGTAAAGATATACTGATCAGCCTTGCCTCTTACCTTTCGGTGGCTTGCAATGTCTCGCTTTTTCTCCAGTTCCTGCCGTTCGTAATATTCAGGTATTTCAATTATTTCACGTTTAAAATGCCGGTAAACTTGGTAAGCTCCTGCGGCACAGATGGTCACTGCCGCTGCCTTAAGAATGGTTCTCCACATAATTTGTTATCGGTTTTTATTAATTGCCAATCACACAGTGTTTATATTATATTTTTACGTATTAGAGTTTTTTGCTGGTAGCAAAAATTAGAAATGATTCTCAATTGTCACCATAGAAACAAATATTAAGAATTACTTAAATATTTAATAATTTATTAAACACATGACAGCACTTCATCTATTCACCCTGCATTACTTTCATCTTTGAAGTCCTTTATTGAACTTGAAAAATGGGAAGAAAAATATTAGTTTGACATTAGGTACTCTTGTATGGCAAGAATTAAAAAAATATAAACAAATGATTCTAGAGACATCAAAATACTAAAACTAACTACAAATGTAAGAAGACTTAAGACCTTATTTAAGAAACAATATTGCACATCAATATTGACAAATTTCAACAAAGGCTGTTGGCTCTGGTCGTTTGATGTAAAGCAAAATATTTCTTTTTATTTAACTGTAAATAAGTTTTGTCAGTAAAAATGTTTTCAATGTTTTTAAATGTAGTAGCAGAAGATAATGGGTTTTAAAACCGTGTTCAGGTAAATCGACTAGTTTTTAATAATAAAATAATTTTGTTTGTATTCAGTACTAGTGTTGCTTTTATCTTGTGATCAACCACCAAAATGGTGATCCTGTCTAGTGATGATCAGAATAAGCTGTTATTTTCAGAGTGCGATGGTATTCAATCACTTACGGCATGATAATTTATACCTGACAATTATTTAATTGCTTTCGTTTACACAATGAAAAGAGGCATGGACTCAGATGACAGTTTACCAAAGATTCAATACTGTCCTGCTAAAAACAAATGCTGTATTAGAGTTAGAATTACGAGACCTCCTAGGAGGCCTCTGGCGTCTCCCTGATAGATCAGGAGGAGTCACCCATCTTGGTTCCAGAGTGACTTCTTTGGTCATTTTGGCGCCCTTACGTTCCCTAAAACTAGTCATTCTCACACTTACTCATATAATAAATACATACATACTCCTATATACAAACCCAATCACACATGCATATCCTCTGTCTAGAATCTGGGTCGGAGGGTACTCGATATTCCGCCCCGACCTGGCTTAGCGGAGCAGCGGTGGAGCCTTGAAATAATATGCTGCACCGCCGCCCAGCATGCTCCTATTCTAACATAAACTAAATTTAAACTTTAACCTATGAAATAAATACCCCACTATATACAATCCATAATCCCAATATCTCTTAGAAACCTAAAAAGTTTTTCCTTAAACTCGCTGCCATGCTCGAGCATTCTCCTATAATCTGGCGGTATTCCATTTCAGTCCCTATATGGGGCCAAGCTGCAACACCCCTCCAACATGTGCGACACCGTGAGTCTGTCAACTTGGCATGCTGGGCACCTAGGACTCGCGCCAACCAACAGGTACCCATGAGTCGCACGTGTGTGGCTGATCTGCAGGCGGGTCAGGACAACAAATGCTGTATCTTCTGTTTTGATAGTTTTGAATAATAGAGCTTCGAAATTTTGAAATTGAATGGCCTCATATATATGTATAAAGTAGATATATTTTTTGTAGTTTTTTGGCCTGGGATTCAAACTTCACTTTTTGGATAATCCTGATAGCTTTTTATTATTATAATTAGTAACGTATTTATCCTTTCTTTTATTATTATTATTTTTTTAATACAAAAAGGTTGTTAAATTTAAATTTAATGTAGTAGTAGTACTTTAATAAGTAGCATTGATTAGTAAGAACGTACCTGAAAACAAAGTGTTACAAGAACTGTATGTTGCCCCTAGCCCCAGTGGTCACAACCAATTTTTATGTGGCTCTAGACATGCTATTCACTGAATGCTGATTGCCACCTAAATTTGCCAACTGTCAAGATGCTCATCTTGTCATATGTGAAATAAAGTACCTATGTATACATACTCAATACTCAATACTCAAACTCACACTAACACCTCCATCAATAGGTGAACATCTAAAATTCGGTTAAAACACCTAATTTTTTATTTTGTTTTTGCATTTTAAATGTTTCACTAGTTTTCAAAAGTTTTTTTACATTTTGGGTACAATTTCTGGATGAATCGATATCTGACATCTAGTAGAAATAGTCAAAGGCATCAATATTCAAACTTACAACTAACACCTCCTCCGGTAATTGAACAACTAAAATCTGGTTAGAATACTTAATTTTTGATTTTTTTGCATTTTAGAAGTTTTAAAAAGTTTTTACATTTTGGGTACAATTTCTGGAGTGATAGGTATCTGGGATCTAGTAGAAATAGTAGAATACACCAATACTCAAACTTGCAACTGACACCTCCACCGGTAGGTAAAAAAATTACACACCGGTTAAAACACCTACTTTTTTGAAATTCTTTTGCATTTTAGATCTATCGGTATCTGAGATCTAACAGTAATAGTTGAATACATGAATTCTCAAACTTGGAACAAACACCTCGGTGGGTTGCTGTGTTTTCCCCAGGATTTGTCTCTCTGAACATTGTTGTAAACGTGTCATCCCCAAAGAAGTAAGAACGTGCCTAGGGCGAGCAATGACCTTAACTGACTAAATGCCTTTTACATTTACACTGCCTTTCTAAACGTAATTTTTAACTTGGAATCTGCAGGTGCTATCTTTTTAAAAAGATTGAATAATACACTCACCTCACCATTCATCCTTTTTATCTGCTGGTGCTGTTAGAATTTTAATAAGTTGGTTGTAACATTGTTTAAATTTTTTTTTCAAATATAATGCCCTACTTTTTTTACACATTTTGAATGTCCTTTCCATTCTAATAACAATACCAGAAACTCAAAATTTCATTTTGGAAATATTGAAATTTTCCTTCAGAACTCAACAATTTCAATTTCGTTCTGGAGGCATTTTAGTTTTCCTTCAGGACTAGCTAATTTCTTTTACTTGACTTTTTAAAAAACAGAATATTTCTAAATAATTATTTTAATGGAAAACCCCTTGGAATTATAATTTTCTAAAATATATTGGTACTGATGAATGGTAGAAAAACTTCCAGTATAAAATAATATTTATTAGTACATAGTAAAGATAAGTCTTTCTTTTTCTTGAATGGTGGTCAGAAAAAACATCCAGTATAAAATAATGTTTATTAGTACACAGTAAAGATAAGTCTTTCTATTTCTTTTCTTTTTTTAAATTATTTATCTTAGAAAACTTAAAAAATACATAAACATGGCATAAAAAAACAGAGAGCTGCAGATCATCCATTATAATAAGCGTACAACTTGCAAAATCTCTCCAAATTTCATATAGATACATTTAAAATTATGCTCTTATGAAGAGTAGAATTCGTCAAACTGGTATTTTAATTAACATTAAAATCAATTGAGAATCCTTTGTTGTACTCAACAACATATCAAAATCTCTTCATAATTTAAAAAAAAAATACAGCGTAATTATACGACAAATATTTCTAAATGCATTACTACACGTTGAATTTATCTTTCAACAGGTAGAATGTAATATTGGATTAAAGTTTTGTCTTTGTACAAATGAAATTATTTGACTGAGCATATGAATTGTAGGAATGGTAACCTACAAGAGTTCATTATTGAACAAAAACTTCTAAACACATATAATACATATCTGAGGAAACAAACAGAAATTTAAATTGAGTTCTTACAGGTTCTGACATCAGTCATTTATAAATATCATTAGTGAAAACAAAAAGCACCCATTTGTACTTATAAATGATCTATTGAGAGATTAATTAGTGTCTTAACAATAATAAAACTAAGCATTTACCTAAATAAAAGAATAAAATACTGATTAATTAAGGATTATAGTCTTACAGTCTATAGTTTTTATTATAAATAAATTGCTTATAACATTCATAGTAACATAATCATTAAAAAATTTGTCATGGTGGAGTCATGGTTCAAATATAGCGTGTCATGAATTTTCAAAACGTCGTCACTTTTCCAAGTTTCAGTCCGAAGAGTTTTCGCCTTTTCCTTGTCGGCAGCTTGCTGATTAGAAACAGGTTTTCAGGCTCTTCGATTTCCAACGAGTCTACGAAGCCGGACTCGGGCCTTGAAAGTGGAGGCTGGATCATTTCAAACCATCGGCTCACTTTAGATGTCGGGCTCATCTGGAAAAAAATGAAATTGTTGAAAACAGACTGAATTCAGAATATTTTTTTATTTTACAAAAAAAAAGTGTTAATAATTTATGTTTTAAATTAGTATTGCAGAAATGTGTATAGCAATTTGGAGATATTGACTTTTATTTTTAAACATGAATATATGTGCATTTACTTTGATCGTCCGATCATCTTGGTCTGCCAATCCTTACGGGATTGGTCTGTCACACGCATTTCGACATTTTGTCATCTTCACATATACATCTATAGAGACACGCTGAAGATGATAAAATGTAGAAATGCATCTGACAGCCCACAACGGTTGCTAAGGACATACAGGTTTATCACAGACCACAGGAGGAAATCTGAAATCTCTCAATATACATTGCTCGCTTATATGTATAATCCAATGTGGGTGTACATGAATCAATCGGCATCGAATTAGTTATGCTTTCCAACATAGCCCTTTGATATGTAGATGGGTTAATTATTATTGATTCACCTATTTATGCTTGACCGTGTTTTAATTTGTTTTAATTAAATTTAATTTATGTAAACTTAATAGTAAAAAGCAAACATTGAACCCACTTTGTGTTCATTCAAAAGGCTATGCAGGAAATAGTTTGTTTTTAACTAAATCTTTAGTAATAATTAGAAAAGATTTTCATAGGAATTTAAACAGTGATTAAGTGTTTAAATTTTATATACATCGTGATACTCACCATTGTGATTTCAATATGTGCTCAGCAGTTAAATCAGCAAAATGTGTAGCATTAATTAGATGCAACCTGAACCGTGTTATTAGACCCATTGCCTTTGGTTAGAAAAGCCCATTTTACCAAATTGGCCAGAGAGAGAGGTAAAGGGATAATAAAGGGAAACAATTATTATATACAATTAATTGTAATAAAAAATATAATACTGAATTAATTAACATATGGTGAATTTAAGCTAAATTGCATTCTCATTAACACTGAGGTGATTTTGTCGGAGATGCAATCAACAAAGACATCTATATAAATAGGCCTTGAATACATATTTTGATATTTATATATAGAGCTTCAAGATTACTTGGAATAGCTTAGCATACAGATTAAAATCTGACTATTTTTAGCACATTGTTCAGATTACAAGGCTGCAAATATCTGTACCGTGTTGGTGTTCTTATCGATAACATTAACGCAAACCTTCATACAAAAATACTTTTATCAGTTACACTGATCATCCATAAAAAATTCTACAACCCACATATTTTAGTATTAATTTTAAATTTTATTCATAATCTTTGTAAATTTTATTGTTTATGACACAATCCAAATAATGACTGATGAAAACAATATTTACCTGTTTTTTCTTTTCTTTTTTAAAAAATAAATATAATATACAATAGCTATGTACATTATCATAAATCAATGATATGTCAACATTTAGAAATCATCTGAATTCAAAATATATACATATTTTTATAGTTCAAACTTAATTACAATTTCTTTTCTATCGTATATTGTTTAAAATTAATTATTTACAACTTAATTAATTTACGCAGTGGGGAAACAAATTTAGTTTTGAAAATTTAAATCAACCCAATCGTTGCCAATACTATCTTAATTTTTGTTACATTTAAATTTATTAACAATAAAAAAAATAATAGAATAAAAATAAAAAATAAAAACTTGCAAGGGCTTGTCTTTTATCATGCCAAACAGGCAATATTTATAACTATTGAAAACATCTTATTTACAACAGACACTGCAATCTGAAGCAGTAAATTAATCAACGAATTTATATGAAAAGATAGTAAAACCTTCCTTCTTTCCAAAAGCAATAAAAGTTTGTTCATACGTTTAATTATGAATAACTATCATTTATAGTCATTTCAAATTATTTTTTAATCAGCAATGAATAGTTTATTTGTATTTTCCCAAAAATACAAAGTGCTATTTCAAGAATCCTATAATGTACAACCAAGCCAAATTGTAAAACAAACTGGAAAAATTGTGAGTTCTTTGTTTAGTCTGTGGGTCTGTCATGAACCCAGTGAAGAAAGAAGGATCAAAATGATCGACGGCGACCAAATTTCAAGTCGCAGACAACATTTAGAAATCTCACAATTGTGTAGTAGATCAATTTAGCTTTATACATTATAGAAACTGGGTTACCTTAAATGTTAAATTATGATGGCTTTGGGATTTTAATGAAACTGTCTTTTTCTTTCCCTTTTTTTTTTGCAATATTTACTTGATTTCAGATATCAATATAGAATAAAATACCTAAAAAATATAATTATTTTTGGCAATTTTTGTTTACAGTTTTTTAAACATTTTATCTGATGTGAGCCTGTTAAGTATAAAATGTATTAATAGGAACTTTGTAGGAAGAAATATTTACTAGGCTAAAATGTAATGCTTTTGTTTTTAAACAAGAAGAAAATAATGTACAACTATACATTTTACAGATCTGTGTGATTTTATCAATTCACCCCATCTTAAAAAAAGAAATAATAATGTATGATAAGCTCGACTAAATTTACTACTGCATATGGACAGCATATAAACAAGAATTTTGAATGTTTGTGTTATTATGAAAATGAGTTCACTTTGTTGTATGCCTGGCCCAGGCCGTCCTCTGTACTTGAGACATGAGTTCACTCCTGTTCGGAACTTTTTCAGAAGTCGACCTCTGGATGAAACTTGGCCTTGCGTCCTGCAGTCTGAGCGAATTGAGATCAGTTGATAAGCGGGCTGCTGCGCCAGAAGAATGGCTCGGTTGTGTCTGTTGATCATCACAGTCTGCGTCCAGGGGCCTTATGAAGTGGTCGTCCTTCATCTCCGCTCTGGATTCCGGTGGGGTCTGGGGTGCCCGGTGTGGCATGACAGGCGTCCCCGGGAAGGACGCCGCCCCGCTCGCCCTATTGCCTGAGGTGCCGAACATCCCTTGAGACATCGGAGAGTAATAGGCCCTCAGCCTCTGTATGAAATCCATTTGTGGCTGTTGCTGGACGAGCCCCAGGTTGTAGTAGGACCCTGACAGCGACTGTGGGTGGAGGTACTGTGAACCTGTCATGTCCGACAAATACATGGGCCCAACAGTCGGCATGTCGCACATCATATGCTACACAAAAAGATTTTTCATTTTATTAAAAAGTTCTCAAACAATATATTTTTTAAAATATGAAAGTAACTATCAATCTGAGCCTAGAGAAATTTTGAAAGTTTAAAAAAATTGAAATGAACCATGAACACTGATGATCAACATAAATTATCTTTGATCCACATAATAGTAGGTTAATGTATGACACATCTACACAATGCTCTACTATTACGATTAGCGGTATTCAGCATTTAATTATGCTGTAACATTAAAAGTGTCTTAATACCGCATTAGTATTTTGTACCTTCCCATATTCTGTTATTTTTACAGATAATAATCTTTTTAGAAATTGAAAAAGAAAAAGAACACATCGATTCTTGTGTATATTTAATTTTTAGTTTAGTTTTTAAAATTTTATTCTGTATTTTGTAAATAGAAAAGGAAGAAGACGTTTGACAGCTAGCCAAAGCTTGGTTATTCCATGATATGGAAATACATAATTTCTGGTGGCTTACCAAAGTAGGCTAAAGTAATTTTTTTACGCAAGAAACAACTACCAAAAATCCCGAATAGAAATTTTAGGAAAATCAAAAAATAATTATTTTCCTCAAAATTTTCGCCTTACAGATGCCTGAGATTTTAATCGAAAATCACATAAATAATCATCTTGCACATGACCCAACCAATGGATACATGGGATTAGACCTTATAAATTAAACGTGGCTTCCTTAGATAAATAAGAACAGGAAATATAAAATAAAACGGTTGAAAATGTTTTGTCGATTCCTTCTTTTTTTCCTCACTTTTAATGATATACATTTAAATGTTGTTGATACATTTGAAAGAAGAAATATTCTACTTTCCAATGGTTGTAATAACGGTGTATTTGGATAAAATCTGGAGGAGTTAGGAATTTTCAGATGGAACACTGGACATCAGTGGTCAACAATTTCCCCTCCTCCGAATAATGCTTTAAAAGGTGCTTAGGTTTTTGCAACTGTTTAAATATCTATTCTCATTTAATTCTATCTTGAAATTATGTTTATATCCTACCAAAATGCCAAATAGACTGATGTATAATAACCATAAAATACATCCACAACAAAGGCAGAAAACCATTTTTAGCAAATTATGTAAATTAATTTTTTTTCTCTGCTTTTAGGGTCCATTGTTAAAAATGCTCGTACACGTGCTAATGTTTTTCGAGCAAGTACCACCAAAAAAGTTTCTTCAGTAAAATCTGTAAGTAAAATCTTTGTTACTACGTCCTTAGCCTCCCTTGTAAGTTTTATCCCAGTTTAAACTTGGCCGTAACTTTCTCAAAGCATGCCAAAACATTAACATGGCCTTAAAAGTCTCGCCTTTAAAAGGACCCGCGAGAATTAAGGCAAGCCATTTCATGGAGTAGATGAAATTGATGATTGTTAAAAGATTTAAACAATTTTAAGTGGGCGAAATTCGTCTTTCATTTAATAAAACATAAAGGAGGGGGTTAAACATTGTCGAAACTTTCTAATAATTGACAGGAATGTGTAGTCAATTTTTAAAATATAAGTTAAATATGAATAAATCCCTGCTGTTTTAAGTATTCAATAATTAAGCCTACGGCAACGATTCATTAATGACCTGTGCTGGCTCAAATGTTTTTTAATCACAAATTTCAAGTTATCGTGTAACTGGTGTAAAAAAAGGGAAAAATTGAAAATTTAATCAAATAAAATATGAAAATTTAATTTTTGACGATTTTTCAAACTTAACTTTAGACAACATTCAGTTACACATCGAAATTATCGAGTTCTGAAAAAAAATGTCAATTCTCTAGAATGAATCAACGAATTTGAGAATAGTGGTATCATTATTTTACAGAATGGAACGGACTTTTTTTTACTTGGGTATTCTAACTACGAACCAGTGTTTTTGAAAAAAAGCACATTTATAAGTATGTCGGGTCCGAATGCAGGGCCGCTGGATTCGAACCCGGGACCTTTACGTTACAGTGATGAACACAGTGTCAACGCGTGAACCATTGCGGACACCGACGCCCCCCTAGCACCAATGTACTTTAAAAATGTCTGAAAAAAACACCCTCAACAATTTTTCGATTCATTCTGGAAATATTGAAAACCTCAATAATTACAATTTACCGTGTAACTGTTTAAAAAATGAGAAAATTGAAATTTAATTGAATAAAATAGGAAAATTTAATTTATGTTTTTTTTGTAATCTAACTTTAGACATCAACAGTTACACGATGAATTGACACTATCGAATTCTGAAGGAAAATTTCAATATCTGTAGAAGGAATCGATAAACTAATGAGTTTTTGGGACCATGTTTTTAACATAACGTACTTTCAAAATGTGTGAAAAAAATTCTTCCTCAAAAATTCTAGAGAATGTACATAAATTGAAATGAGGGAGTTCTGAAAAAAAAAATCACAACACTTCAATATTTCCAGAACAAATCAAAGAATTTTCATGTTTCTGGTATCGTTTTTTCGAGTGGAACGGACTTTTAGAATATGCGAAAAAAATCCATCCTCAAAAATTCATTGACTTGTTCTGGAGATTCTGGAGAATCGCTATAAATTGAAATTATTATCGAGTCTGAAAAAAATCAAAACACTTCAATATTGCTAGAAAAAACCAAAGAATTTTCCAGTTCCTGCTAACATTTTTCGAATGGAATGGACTTTTAAAATGTGCGAAAAAATCTATCCTCAAAAATTCATCAACTCGTTCTGGAGATTTTGGAGAATGAATAAATGAATAACGATAAATTGGTATTATCGTGTTCTGGAAAAAAAATCAAAACACCAATATTTCTAGAACAAACCAAAGAATATTCCAGTTCCTGATATCATTTTTTCGAGTGGAACGGACTTTTAAAATGTGTGAAAAAATCCATCCTCCAAAATTCATCGACTCGTTATGGAGAATCTATGTAAATTGAAATGATCAATTATTCTAAAAAAAATCAAAACACTTCAATATTTCCAGAACAAACCAAAGAATTTTCCAGTTTTTGGTAACATTTAAAAAAAATTATTTTGACTTGTTAAATGTCACTAAAGAACCTTTCATTTGAAAAAAGAGTTGATCACCATATCGGCTTAACTGCCAACTGATTGAAATTCTGATAGCACCAGCATATTTTACGTGAAAAATTACTTTTGGAACCATATATGTTTTACAATAAAATAGCATAAAAATAAAGGCCACGTCTTTTATAAAAGTTCACACGGTTTATAACATTCATGCGAAATCAGCCTTGGGATTTATGTAATACTTTTGCCTATGCAGTATGATTCTCCTAAAAGCATTGAAGAGGGGCCTGTGGTCTTGTCCAAAATTCTTAGGTGAAAGAAAAAAATTCGAAGTTTGAATTTTAACACCAACTCTGAATATAGAGATCTGCGTATTTATTTAATTTTAATTTTAAATAAAATGAGAAAAAAGTTGTCTGAAAATTTATATTTTTTTGTGAAATTGTTTAGCAAATTCAATACGATTACGGTTTTCCTTTTAAACCGTCATACTGTGATGTTCCCTACTAATGAAATTCAACGCGCGGAACATTGCAATCGGTACAGCGATTAAACGAATGATGTACTGGTTCCACCTGTTCGCAATGAGAACGGCCACAGCTGTCAGCTGAAACGTGACGAAAAAATGTTTCTTACTTATCCCATGCGTTTATCTATTCCTGTTAGTGCGAGTTATTTCTATTTACCTCCTGTGAATTAAATTCTCCTAAGGCCTTTTCGCCTGTCGACTGCCAAAATATAAATTAATACGTTCAATGCAATTCAAAATTTAGCTTCCCCTAGGCTCAGAAAAATACAAGAAATAATATCTGCTTAAATATATGTAAATAATATACACACTTGTTTTTAGTGATTAATACATAAAAAAAGATAATTACCATGTTTGTTTTAGCCATTTCCAAATAAATCAATTAATGCCTCATTGGCATTATAATTGTTATTTGCATTATTTTTTTCATCCTCTGTTAAGACCTGTAAACACACGCATTTCACGCAAAAAGAAGTGTTATTCGTAACGTCAGACATTATCCAGTGCATGGAACAAAAAGAGCCAAAAGACTAAATGTTTTTATGAGCAGTGAGATATAGCAAAGCGTGTTAGTGTTAAGCGAAAACGTTCTAATTATATACAAACGGATTTTTGTTTAAGACTCTTCGTTTTACCTGAGGTACTGATGTCACCTGATTGCCTTGTAGTCTCTCCTGTTCTTGGAGATGCTGCACCAAGGAGGATATGTGGTCCAGTAGTTCCTTGTTGTGAACAAGCAGCTGGTGTATCCTCGCCTTTAAAAAGACAACGTCTAAATAGTAAAATTCTCAAGTGGTAAATTAACAATGCATGCACAAATGTATCGACAAGAGACGGAAGTTTATCGGAGTATTCATCACTCCCCCGGAGGCCTTTGAACAAGCCGTTTCGGTAGATTTCGTCAAAACACGTGTAAACCGCACTTCTAGGAGTATAAATAGTTAGGAGTCGTAACGGCTACAATAGCAGACGTTTAAAAGATCGGCCAGGAAAGGGGGGAAGCGAAAAGAGCGATTTCAGGGAGAGAAATCGTTATAAATAGAATCTTTGTGTGAGGTTCCGCCCGTGCGACTATTAGAACTGACAAATTTTTCCTAGGAGGTTTCGGGGAATCTGTTTATTTTTGATCCAAGGTACCGACCGATAAGAGCTGACACGGTTCGACGGAGAAAAAAACTATATATTTTCATTAATGGGCAAGATTAGCAGAAATCTCAAGAAAGGCTGATTTGTATTCGACCATAGGAAAAAAATCCATATTTAGCCAAAGCAAAATGTAAAATATTGAATCCTTAACTGATGACATCCAGTCCAATTAAATGAGACAGCCATGCTCTTTTGAAGTTTGACGCCCGCGGCTTCGTCTTGTTGGATGTGCCTGAAATTTAAACGACCTCCATCAGGTAAGGATCGATTGGGGACATTGACAGATAAAGTCACGATTCCTTTCGTCCTATTATCTCCACCGGCTTCAATTTATTCCAGATCCACCTCCCACCCCTCTTTTTTTTGTTTGACTGTTTTGATTTGTTTCCTTTAAGGCTAAATTGTTTGCAGTGTCCGCATGGAATAAATGAAGCACGTGAGCAGCCTTGGGAAACATGCATTTCGTTTCAGGGATTACGTTGGGACTGTACTGCCCCCTTTTTCCGATTATTTATCGTTTTTTCCCCCTTTATTCAATAGACTTTTCCCACCGGTTCTACCGCTTAAAAATTGCAAATTTACGCATGCTGGTTGATTTAAAAGTCCAATTATAGGAACAGAATGTAAATACTTATATTTTTTTATATCAAACGAACAACCACATTTACATTACCGGACATAAACAAATTCTGCCGGAAAGTAGTCACGTTCAGCCTACAGATTAGGATAAAATTGGATTAATAAGGGGAAAACCATAATTGTGGATGGCTAATTGGCTTTAAACAATCAGACAACGAAATTGGACAATTTACTCATTTTCAACGGCCCAACGTTATATCCGATTGTCATAATCAGGATTATATTTTAAACTCATTATCTTCAAGAAAAAACCGCACTGGGCGGGGATCAAACAAATATTAAATTTAAATATTTTACTAAATTAAAAATTCAAAGAGTAAAAGTTTTGGAAGTTGATGATTGTTTGTTCCCCCAGGATAGCCATTATGAAGATGAAATCATGAACTTGTTTAGAGGTTTGATTCGATGAAATAATTACAGGTCAAGTTAACCACGTGTTGGCGCTGAACTACTCATGATCTCATGACTAAACACACCAGGACCGTGGTTGGTGACCAACTTCGCTTTGACCGTGCTGACGAGATTTATATATAGACAGGGTTTTTCTGCAAGGTGCGCACTACCTAATTCTATTTTTGGGGCTCTTTACGTATTCATAATATTAGAATTAACATAGTTACAGGCAAGGGAAAGACACTCGCGACCTCCTAGAAACGATCAACGTAGAAGTATTCGTGTACGAGAAAACCTTCCGGATGCGGATATCACTCGCCAAACAGGAACATCTTTCTCAGGGTGTGAAGGAACTATCTATTACGGATGGCACAACAGGGATAGTCAGGATCAGGACATACCAAGTTTTTGGTGATTCTTGTTGAAGCCTGAATAAAGAGAGATGGATTCCAGGTCGTTTCGAGAAGCTTTCAGAAGGTATGTGAAGGACAAACTTAAAAATATCAATTGATACTTTTATTACAAGTTTAAACGTTTCAAGATTTTTATTGCACGTTTTGAAGGTTTTTTCTGCAAGAAAATCAGGTTTTTAGTAATAAAATACTCATTTTATTAATATTGAAAAAAGATGTTGATTTAAGTTCTGATTATCATCAATCATACTAAACTACATGAAGGCTTAGCCATAAAACCTAATAGACCTAGTTTCTGACGTCAAAATATGTCGCTGGGTTGCCCTAATTGCGTCTGTCCTTCACATTTTCCCCGTCTTTTTCACAAATGTCCTTATCCTATTCTTCTGACTCCCTTACTCTCTTTCTCTGCTACGCAGTCTTTTGCGAATCGTCTGTCATGAACAATCTCTCTCTAATTATCTCCCAAACGACAACCCTTAAGAGTTCTCTTGTATCCACACATCTGAATAGGTAGGTGTCCGGCCCGAAGTCTCACGCCTACCCCCAGTGAGTACCTACCCGCTACACTAGTCAATCAAAGAACTGACTGTGATAGTTTTATCGTAAGGAGAATTACCATCAAGCTAAATGTTAAGTTAGAAATCAGCAGCAAAAATTTTAAATAATATCGACACATACACAAACACAGCCGTTCAACAACCTGCGGGGTGATGAATATATAGTTTCCATTCATTTTGGTCTGCCTTCCCCTCTGTTACGGTTTCTCACCATCTTCAATGCTGGTTCAAACAGCGGGATAGACAGATCGCAATGAATAAAACTAAACTACGGCTATATTAGAACAAATTTTAAAATTAAAGAAAACGTACTTTGGTGACGTTTGACGTTCAGGCGAGTGGAGGATGGATTAACGGGCCTCCCCGAATTGAGATTTATCAAATAAGTACCGTCAGGGTTTTGGCTCATAAACCAAGGTTTTTGGCACTGTGTCAGTAGCCGATTCCCAACCTTTTGTTTCCACATATGAGAGTGCGGACAGTTTTGGCAAGTGGCTCGTAAACCTACCGCTAAGCCGTTCCGGCCTCTCAGCCCGTGTAAACATCGTTATGATCCCCGTTTGCCAACATTCTGACCAAAAATCGCTCTTGCTCGTCGACAATTTGTAAGAAAACACTCGTCTTGGATCACAAGCGGAAAATGAACCGAAAAAGGTATCGGCTTCGGTCTATTTATACGATTTATTAAAACCAGGAATTTACCGTCTGTTTTACCATTTTTAAGCTATAAAACCGAATAATTTTATTTATAACTTTACTTGCAAAAATTAGAAAAAATAATATAAGTGACCACATTAGAAATTACCCTTTATATTGTATAAATAAAAAGTTTGCTATTTATTTATTATTGCTCGACACAAATTTGTTTTCTTTTTCTTGATTTCTTTAGAGATATGTAAAAATAAAGCGTCCTTCTTTTTTTTAATAGTTAAGTTTGAGAACCGCGGGAAAAACGGTCTTGTTTACTACGACTCACGACTACAACTGTCCGGATCTTATTGTCCTAAAAATACCGTCATTTTATTAACAAACCTGTACAAGCTTTAAATAAAGATAACGATATAATTAATTACTTAATCTAGGTACTATCAGATTCTTTTTTAAATTAAGAGTTTAGAAATATTTTAATTTGGTGCGATATATGCCAATATATTTTATGTAGACCATATTAGTTTGATGGCATCTTTCTCAACATCTCACTCTCTCGCTCTCGGACACTCACTCACGGTCAAAATCTCTCTCTTTTCTTTTTCTCTCTCACAAATTCTCCCTCATTAACAATCTCTCAGTCACTCTCTTATTCTCACGTTCATACATTCACTTCTTTCTCTTTTTCTTTCCTCTCTCTCTCTCTCTCGCTCTCACTCACTATCTATATCTCTCATTTTTCTTTCTCTCTCTCACTCTCTCATTCACTATCTATATCTCTCATTTTTCTTTTTCTCTTTCATACATTCTCCCTCATTCACTATCTCTCTCACTTTTCTTTTTCCCTCTCACAAACTGTCCCTCATTCACTATATCTTACCCACTCTCTTACTCTCATGTTAAATGTAAGAAAGGTCGAACTTTTCGTGATTAAATAAAACGATTACTCACTCTTTTCCTCTCACACTCATTCACTCTCACAATCTCTCTCTCTCTCGCGGTCACTCTCACTATCTATCTCTCTCATAAACTTTCTCTCATTCACTAACTTTCATTCACTATCTTAATCTCATGGTAAGTGTAAGAAAGGTTTAACTTTTCGTGATTAAATAAAACGATCACTCACTCTTTTTCTCTCATACTCATTCACTCACTTCTATCTCGTTTTCCCTCCCCCTCTCTCTCTCTCACATACTCACTCACCATCTACCTTTCACTTTTCTTTTTCTCTCTCATGCACTCTCCCTCATTCTCTCCCACTCTCTTACTCTCTCGTTAAGAGTTAAGTTAACGTTGCGTGATTAAATAAAACGATCCAGGTGGCCACTTTTTTTTTGGCATTGAGTTTATTACCTGAGCTTCGAGCCTGGCGGCCGTTTCGGCAGCTAGCTGATCTCGAAGAAGGTGGACTTGTGCGACAGCGGCTTGAGTCTGCTGCGTCTGCTGGTCCAGCTGTTCACGCAGTAGCTGCAGTTCGTGGTGAGCGCCGAGTGGCGTCCCTGCGCTGGGGAGTCCGCTCCCCGAGACATCGAGGGGTTTCAGAGGTTCAGATAGCGGAGAACTGTACGTCTCGCCAGCCTGAAGAAAAAAACAACAGAGTTGATTAAAAAAAAGCATTACAATTTAGAAGTTTCGTGAAAGTGGGGCAATACACACCATAGGAGATTTGCGTTGGTGGTTGTTATTCTGAGGTGGTGTCATTATATCCAACCTCATCGGCCTCTGAACCGGGAGCGGCGAAGACGTCATTCCAGACACTACATCCAAATTGGAATTCGATTCGTCGGCTCCCATTTCGTCGAAACTCAAATGATCCGAAAAATTATCTGAAACTAAAATTTTGAATTGTTATGGTACATAATCAAAATGTAGGGAAATATTAATTAATATGGTGATTATTGATGTGCTGATAGTAAATCTAATTATTTCTTTCTCTTACGCAGAGGTTAATTGAAAATAATGGCAGAACTTGCAGTATTTAACGAAAAAAATGTCTTGCTCTTCTAGCTTTCTTGATACCCTCAAAAGATCACAGTTGTATCTTATCAAAAGCACTCGAAACCATTCGTGTAAATTTTTCCATCGAAAGAGTTGAAATACATTGGAATCATTTTTGACCAAAAACAGTCGAATAACGACCACTTAAAGCCACAATCCTGCTTGGCAGGTGGTACATGTCTTGGGAGAAGTAGAAAATAGAGAAAAACTGTTACTTGTCAGGTCCTAGGGAACACAAGACAGAAGGGTAACGAAAGACTAATAGAAAGAATTGTCTTCAGTGTCTCCCGAAACCCTAATCGACCATTATATGGTACAGAATTGACAAGGAAATTTTGGACTACTTAATCAGATAAATTTAATGGAAGGGTCACTATTTAAGGCTAGATAGTGAACTCTGACACAAGGGTAACGAGGAGGCGATAAACTATCAATAGAATTATCTTTCGCAGCACTACTAAGACCAGAACCTTTCCATAAAATTCTGAACTACCATAAAAATTTGCAACAATCAGATAGGCCACGCTAAAACTAATACCTGGTGGGACCACACCTCAGGACAAGGCAAGCAAAAGACTTGGTTAAGAAAGTCTCGCTTTAACTTTACTACAGACAGCCGAGTAGAGTTGCTACAAGCAGAGGACACCTCAGTACACATTACATACTACTGTATTGTCAAGGAAAAGTATTCATGGGCGAAGCTTAAATATAACTGAAGGGCGACTATCAAAGATTAATGAGAAAGCGTAAAGCTGGATAGTGACAGTGGACGAGCACTATAGTCCGATTTTGATGGTCTTAGTGGGACAAGATGTCATCTCATACAAACTTTCCTACCTAGCAAACTCGTGAGGAAAAACGAATTTTGTTTTTTACAAAAGTTTATTACAATTGTTTATTTCATGCTAGAACCGTTTTTACTCCATATTAAAACAATCCTAATCTTTGGAAACTTTCAAGTTTTTTCCCTGATAACACCTTAATTTTTTTAGGGAATATTCCATAAATGATAGTCTTATTCTCGAGTGAATATATTTTCTAATTTGACAAACAGTAAAAAAAAGGGGCTAAAATGCTATGGCTTTATTATATAGGATTTTTGGAGGACTAAGAGTTGAAAACCTGTTCTAATTCAAAAAATTGATTTACTGCTGTCCTGTATAGGTTGAATTCGCAAACATTATGACATTTATTATTACTTAATAAACGTACGGAGAGTAATAAGTTGAAACTTTTGTTCAAACATCCTACAATTCTGACAAATCGATTTGTCGACCAAAATAAACAATGTTCAGTGTAAAAATTGCCCTTTTAGTGATTAAAAAAGATTCACTCAACTTTTCTCCTGTTTAATTATGCAGTTTGGACAAAAATATTGTAAATTGCACAAAATATATAGTTTATTTATACGTATTTTGGAATTCATTCAAGACAGACGCCTCTGAGGGCGCGTGTATTTGTCGTTGTTATTGCGTAATTTAATGTAATACATAAATATGTTTTTGTTTTTCTGCATCAATTTTTGCACAAGTACACGACGTTAGATTATATTTCGTTTTTAACGTTTCCAGTAAATGTTATGAACTAATTTTTTCAAGCCGGTAAGGTAAAATACTTGCGCGCATGGCATCAGTATAAAACATAACAATAACAATAAAAAATATCGTCAGATAAGAAGGTTGGACCGATAACAAAGGTATCGTACAGTCCTTTTTAATCCTTTTTAAACGTTTTTAAAAAAAAAAGGATTGAATATCGCACTCACTCAACCATTCGTCATTTCTATTAAGGTATTGTAGGGTAACAAAAATAAAAAGCGAATTTGTTGAATTCGTGAGAAGCGGTCAAGAATGAGGTAGTTTAGAAAAACACTTTTTTTTCTCCCCCGACGTTTCATTATTCTGGTCATTTTCAGGGTCTGGGTAAATTACAAAACATATGTCGATTGAAAAATATTCAATTTAAGATGTAATTGTACCCAGGCCCTGAAGATGACCCGAATAAAGTTCTGAGGAGCTCTCGGCTTCAACAAATTATGAAACCACAGGACACTGAGAAACAGACATAAAAAATGACGGTGGAACCGTAAATTCAGGAATTAGGCCGAAAGGGCAAGTTCTTGTCTTTTCTCCATATTATGTATCGTGACATTCACATGATTTAAACGTAATGTGAAAGAAATATAGTTTATGCTGTACAATTTTTTGAGTAAATTTTCCGTCCTGAGTTTCTTGGAAAATTCATTAGTTCAAAAATGCTTATAAACCGTACAGCACTTTTTACAACTCCTTTAGCTATTACATATTGTAAAATATCTATTCAATGATTCCGAAAATTAATTATCAAAACAAGTTGATAACATTCAGAGAAAAGTATCGTTTTTATGCTGAAAAACGTGATTTTTTGGAGAGGCATAAAATTAAGTTTACCCGGTTAATTCTGTTCTGAATCGCCCAAAAATTTTGGTAAGTACCAAGTACGAACAAGAGAGGTAGAAATGAGTCGAGGCCGCCAAAAAAATACCAAAATCCTGCACCGCAGTCAAAAGTTAAAGAATATGTACAAGAAATTTACAGCATTTTAAATTCACCAAAAATAATTTTCCAATACGTAATACATTAAATAAATTGGTTTTAGTCTGCAATATCCCAGAGGAAAAGATAGAAATTTAAAAAGTGTTAAAATCAAAAATATTTAAAAAAATATGAAAATGGTTTTTTAAATTTTTTAAAGATACTTCTAGTTCTCGGAATTTTCTTTTGAAAGCCACATTAAATGAAGAAAAGCCTGACAAATGTAAACAAATAAAATTGTCTGCCCTTAACCAAGAAAAATCTATTATACCGAGAGAGAAGACATGGCCATTTATTTTTACTCTGCTTTTCTTACTGTAAAACTAAATATGGTTCCAAACCTAACTTTTCACCTAGAGTTTGCTGGTCGTATTAAAAGATAAGCAATAAGCTGTGTGAAAGCAATAAACCTTTTTTTCCAAATGTTATTATCCTTTTTTGAAACATTTTGAAAATCCTTATCATTCTAAAAGAAGATACCAGAAAGAAATTCTTTGATCTGTTCTGAAGATATTTTTTAAAGAACTCGATAATTTTAATTTATCATGATGGTTTTTGATTTAAAGTTAGGTTAAAAAAGTCACCAATTAAATTTTCATGCTTAATTCTATTTAATTTTCAGTTTTCATCCTTTTTTAACTAATGTTAACAAATTTTCAACTAATAAATTGAAATTATCGAGCCTTGAAGTAAAACTCGTAACGTAAAGTATCTTCGAACGAATTGGTGCTTATTTTCAAACACATTGAAAGTCCCTTCTGTTCTAGGAAAAAAGTATCAGAAAATTTATCTGTTCGTTCTGGGGATATTAAAGTTTTTCTTCAGAACTCAATAATTTCAGTTTATGGTGTTACAGATTGTAGTTTTTTTTCGAGGGTTCGCAACAGCAAATAAACCATCAGGGTGCCGATGTTTTTGAAAAACAAGCCCATTTGTAAATATGTTGCGTTCGAATGCAAGGCCGCTGGATTCGAACCCGGGACCTTTACCTTACAGTGATGAGCGCCGTGTCAACGCCTAAACCGTTGCGGCCACCTAGGCCCCCCCTACTGATTGTAGTTGTCTAAAATTAGGTTAAAAAATTGACAAAACGTAATTTTTCAATTTTTTTAAACCAGTTACATATAAATTGAAATGTTTGAGTCCTGAAGGAAAACTTCGATTCTCTACAACAAATCATAGAAATTTTGAGGATGGATTTTTTCATTTACTTTGAAAATCCGTTCTATTCTTTAAAAAAATGATTCCAGAAATTCAAAAATTCATGGCTTTCTTCTGGAAATATTGGAGATTTCCTTCCGATCCCGACAATTTCAATTTATCGTGTAAATTATTTAGTTCCGAACGAACATACGTCCTGAACGAATCGATCAATTTTTTCGAAACATTTTGAAAATCCTTTCCGTAGTAAAAAATGGACTAAAATGTCAGAAATTTATCATTTTGCTCCAGAGATGTTGATGTTTTCCTTCAGGACTCGATAATTTAAATTTATCGTGTAATTGGGTAAGAAAAGAGAACTGACTTACTGAATAGGTGAAAAAGCGCATTACATTTGAAAAAAAAGTTATCACCAGGTCGGCTTAACGGGCCAACTTAATAGAATCCTTACACCAGCAGATTCAAAAATTACCATTGGAACTGTACTTAATTTTACAAAAATATAAGCAGAATGAAAATAAAAAACCATGCCTTTTATAACAACTCACACTTAGGAAGGACCCCAGGGTAATAGTATAGTCATTGGTTATGCGTTTTCAGTGTAAAATAAGAGGGCCAAAATTGACCTCCACCTTCTTTTTAGGCTCAATAATTGACAGTGATGGAATATCCCAAAGGCGAAAGTTTTACGCCAGCGAGAGGGAAAATTTTTTGACGGAAGGAATGAAATATCTTTTTGAATCTGCCAGCAGTCTCATCACAATAAACACTTCCTGGCATTAAATTTCAATTGATTTTCACCCCAAAACGGGCTTAAGGCATTCGGAACAAAGGATGGACCTCGGTGCTTAATTCCACTTTTATGAATATGGTAGCCCTTTAGAAAAGCCGTATCCTCCTATTCAGCTTGTTAAGAACCAAGATTTAAAAATGTAATATCTCAAAAATAATATTCTACGCTTAAATTTCCGATATTTATTAATATATGGGTATGTATTAATATATATAATTATTCTATTGAATATCAAGTTCTTTAAGTTAGATTAAATATAGTCCCTGACCTGAACCTTTGATTGGAATTAAGAAAGAAACATAAATTC